TCCTGCTTAGAATTGGGGAATGAAAAAGCTGGTCATTAGGAATTTTGGAACCTCTAAGTTTGTCCATAGAAAAACACATGCACAAAAAGATCTAATTCTAATATTTTTAAGAACTTTAAAAGGCATTATCATTTCCAACTTATTAATAAGCAATTAGCAATAGAGATACAAAGAAATCCTTGAATCTGGTTTTACAGATTAACAATTGTTAGGCAAAAGTCAGTGGGAATTGAATGAACCTAAATCCATAAAGTATGGATGATATTTATACATATCCATAAGAAGATATTGCATACCATTTACTAAATCTTGTACACCTGAGAAAATATGTTAATATAAATAATTGTTGTGTGAAAATTAAAGGCAAACATATCTGTAGGTTTTAAGCTGTCTAAAGTAATTTTACATTCTCAACGAATAATGTTTAACATTTGAACCAAAAACAGTTCGGCAGGAATAATTAAAGGCTTAAGTTAAATACATAGACAGTCATTTAAATTTAGATCTGCAATAACATTTACTATTATTCTCCAAGGCTTTGACTGCTTGACAGAAACAAAGTACTCTGGGATTAATTTCAAGAAATGGTGCCAACTGTGCCGCAATTTGCTGTAATTAAGACATGAAAGAACACTAAATATTCAGATTAAAAGAAGCATGATGGAGCATGATAGAGAGTCAAGGTGTGGCAGGAAGCCAATAAAAAAAAAAAAAAGGGCCAGGAATACCATATTGATGGATACGAAAACAGCACCAGCAATGTTTAGCGAGGTTTGTTTTAACGAATTACTTTCGGTGATTATTTTAGTCTTTGATTATATTTCATATCTTTCTTCATTCCATTTTAAGGCTGACACACCATGTATTAAAAAGATAATAAAACTGAAAAAGAAAATGACAAACATAGTATTCTCATAAAGCTAATTAGTTTAAGTGGTGTGGAGAAGTCATTAGGAGGGTATCATAATTATCTTTATGGTGCAAGGATTTCCCTGGGTGTCACATTAATGTAGTTTCCTTTAGAGCTAAATGAAAGAGCTGTATAGGTGTTAACTCAAAAAGATTAAATACACTTTTTGTATTCATTAAAGTCTTCTTTATATTTTAAAGAGAAAGAATTCATTTTGATCCAACTAGTCTCCTTTTTGCTCCCTAAGAATTATGGGAAATATTTTATTTTGCCTTTGAACCTTTATGTATTGATTAATACTATATTTAGGCTAATAGTGAATCTTCCCTCCAACTGACTCTTTTTTTTTTTTTTTAAGAGAGACCCTTTAAGGTTTTGATCTTAGAAGGAGATGTGGATACTTGACCCAGTTGCTAATGAGGGTCTGTATAATCTCCAGTATCCTATAGCTCAAAATAGCAGGATGCAATATAAAAAGTACATCATAAAAGGCACCAATGGAATGCTTTTTGTCTTCACAGGCAGTATGCAAAAGATATGACTTTCTAAGAAAGTCAGAAGCTGGACTCCTGCAGGCACATGAAGCCATCAAAGTCATAGTGGGTAAGGTGAAGCACCTTGACAGTGTGGTCAAGAAACTGAAAGCAAGTATCTTGTGTATTCAGGGAGAAAAGCATCTGGAAGCAGCCATCAGCATCATCAGAGCAGGTCTGCAGCAGCCAGATGGGAACTGCAGAATCTGCATAGAGCAGGGCTTTGGAGAGGTGATAGTGTACCCTAGATAGTGAGCTTAACCAGAATGTGAATCTGTTCTAGCCTGACAAAAGAGAATTTCACATTAGAGAAACATGATTAGAAGCTCAAAACAGGAAATGTGGATCTTTTTCAGGCTTTGAGGTAGATGCTGCAAAGAGTCAGCATCTTTGGGAGAACCATAAAAACAAAACTGAGTTGTTTCCACATGCAGAGATCTTTGCAGAAAATGCATTTACTATCTATTGAATATAGACTGTATATGTTAGATATTTCCCTGATGTTGTAAATCTCCATTTGAAAAAATTAAAGTGCTTGTTGTATAATACTGGGGAGCAGTTAAAAATAATATACAGTCTAGAATTTTACCATTCTAGTAAAAATTTTTAAAAATACTTGAAGAGACATCCAAGTATTTCAAAGATGTGAGTCTGCATAATTTACATAAAATAAAAGAGAACATTATTTTTATATCATAAATGATCAGTATGACCTATAATCTTCAGTACATATGCATACAATGTTGAATCTCTGTAGTTGACATCCATTTGTTTAAGATTTTTTTCTTGCACACATAGAATAAATAGTATGAAGCCATGAAAATTATTATCATTATTATTATCTTTGAGTTATTGTTTGACTAAACTTTGTAGGATAGTATTTTTATGAAATAAAATATTAACGAAATCATTGGGTTTATTATAGACAGCCTTTGTCAACTCCTTAATTTTTCTTTCCTTTATTCACACATTGCCAGATACATGTTTCTGGATAAAACCCCCTAGAGGTCTCCTGCAAATTCTTTTTCAATACAACCAGATCATTGCAGATAATTGTATTACACAGTGTATCGATCCAAAATCGTTGTGCACCGGAAACATCTGAAAAAACATGATTATAGCTTTCTGTTTATTGTTCGTACATCATATAAGCAGGCTTTTGTGTGAATCACCTGTAAGAAAGGCAAGGTGGAAACATCAGAGAAATTACCTCTTTACAAGAATCTATTGATCACTTTAAATCAAAGAAGTATGTTTGACATAAGATTACCTGCCAGTTTGAACATTAGGTACACTATGTTATAGCCTGGGGCAGTTGTAAGTCTGACAAAGGGATTGTAAATAAAGCATGCAGCTGTGAGCGCCTCTGGCTTGGGATCAAGTCAGGCTCAAGTCCAAGGCATAGGTAAACTTAAAATAATTTACCTCTTTTTAACAAGAACATAATGAATTAGAGTAGACTCTTAGGAGAACTCGGACACATAAATCTCTTAGTCATTTGGAAATGGCAAACTTCATAGAAAATTCACATCATACATAGTTGATAAAAGGTCTTTTTTGAGTATGTGCCACAAGTTGTTTCAAGTAATCTTGAAGTCAGTCTATTGGTATTAGGTTACTCTTCAAAAAGGAGACTTCCTAAAACATTCCTATATCCATAATCATTTGTATTTGACTTTATAAGTCAGATTCCTTTGCATTTAAGGACTTCTTTATTTGATCTGAAAATTTCCCTCACAACTCATTTAAAAAGTTTTGGTGTTTTTTTTTTTGTAATAAGAAATAAAATGATGAAAATGTGTGTAAAATAAAACATTGGGTTTAAACTATTTATGTAATTGCATTAATAGTCCTAAGCCATATCATTACAAAAATATTGATTATTTTCATTTTCTTGCATTTTCCTACTGGTCAAGAACAGGGAGGTATTAGTGTCTGTACACATTTTTAAGCTTGAAGGATTTTTTTTTTAATTTTAAAAGCAAACTTGTTGCAGTCTTTTTATTGGATTTTTTTCTTACATTTTAACATGTGTTGAAATTATTAAACATTTAACTCATTTGTTCAAGAGAGATTCTGATGTATTCAGAATTTAATAAAGATGAGCTCTGGGTGATGCATTCCTCCTTGTTAAATATTTAGCTGTTTGTGTTAGCTCTGTGGTTTCCTGAGGCACAAATTTAAACTGTTAATATATAGCAGGTTTAAGCTATAAAGATGGTAGATGCTATAATTTCTTCTGGGGAAAAATTGGTCATTTTGAATATTTGCAAGAAAATAATGTAAACATGTATGTACATATTTATTGAAATTTAAGTTATCTGGAGCTCAGAATCTATAAATGAGAAACTGATAATCAGATATTTTAGATCTTCTTTTCAGCAAGACATCATTTAACTTCAAAGATGAGTGATAAATGCAGAGTATTTATATGTAGCAGCTTTTTATGAGGTTTCCTGTAAAAGATACCTCTGATGTAGGACTGTAATATCTTTGTTCACAACTTTATTGAAGCTTAAGATAAACAATATTTTTTAACAACAAATAAGAACCATTAAAAGAAAAGATGCTCTTTTTATTTAAAAAAAAAATCCCCCTTTTCACTGGTATCTTCCTTCATTTGAAGATACTAAAAGTATTTTTTTCTCTTCATTGTGAACTGCAAGAATGAAATTACTGATTTTCATAAAATATCATTCTCCTTAATGCAATGAATTAGTTAACCAGTTGGACTTCAAAATAACCTCCAGAAATGTACTATATAGCATAATGTATAGAAATATATATCCAAACAGATGATTTTAAAAAATATAATGCCTGATAACATTTGCATTTGATGACATTTAGTTGAGGAAAAAGAAATAAATTAACAAATGAACACTTTTACGAAGGGGAAATATTTGAAGAAAATATACAGATATATATCTGCAAGAATACGGTCAACAAAGAACAAAGGAAAAATGTCTTTGTCTTAAATCACTTATTTTTTGAGAGCTTGAAGAATACCATCTAAAACTGCGTTGGTCTAATGAAAGAGTGCCATCTATTGGATGACCTTGAAACAATACTTAAATTTCATAAATACTGTATGTGAAAATAAATCAGTGGAGAACAATCATTTTGGCATAATTTGTAATTATGTCAGTCTCTGTCTATGTGAATGTATCTATGACTGAAAGCTATGCTAAATAAAAACACAAGAATCATACATATCAACATTATTTTTATAATACACTTATTTAGCAATAGAAGTCTCACAAATAAACTCAGTAAATTGTTGTCTGATTAAGACATATAATTTTATAATTCAAATTTTATAAACTTGAGATTCTGACATGCATCTTGTTTTCCCTCATACATACCTTTGTTTACTTGTGCTTTAAGTAAAGGAATCAGACAAATGACTGCATGAGCTTGTATTTTGACAACAAGGATCTGTTTAAATCTTCCTCAAAGTTGCATTGCATTACATTTAAACCAAAAAAAAAAAAAAAGGAAAACAAAACACATTAGTTTGGCGTTTTAAAAAGCAATGTTCTTGTTTTATCTTTCAGCCCAAGAACTTGCCAGTCAAGATGAAAAACTTCTTCTAATGGAATCCAGCTTGAAAGCTACTCAAGAGCAGCTAACTGAGCAAATAGCAGAAACAGTTCGCCAAGAACAGAACAGTAGAAAACCCCAGGCAGAGCTGAAGACAGTGACAGAAGGGATTATTGCTTCTGAAGAAGAAAAAAAAAAATGATTACAAGTGAGTTGTTTTTTAGTATTTCAGAAAGTTTTACTTTACATACTGAAATCAAGTCAATACTTTTGACTTTTGTTGTTAAATATTTAACTCTCTCTGTCTTGCCAAAGGTTATGAGTATATGTGCTAGTTTATACAATACAGTGTTTATTCCAAAATAGAAAAAACTTTAAACTACTTTAAATTTGCAACGTTTATTAACTGAAGTAGAACATGTTGAAAATTATAACACTCCTATTCCAGATTCTGGGTAATGATGTGGCAGTCAACTTTCTTATTAACTACCAAAAAATGTTCAAGGTAGATGCAAGAGAAAGAATACACTGTGCTTCTGTAGCACCTATCTGCCAATGGCCTTCTCATCTTTCTCCTTTTGGAGTCCAAAGGTTACATATGGCTCTTGTTGCCTTCCTTCTTTTTGTTAAAGTAGCTGCTCTAAGCAAGACACTATTAAATTGAGAGACATTTAAAGTAGACGTTTTGGTCAGACCATCGAGGCATATGAAGGACTATGAAGAATAGTAATAAACATCTATGCCTAGTTTTCAGACCTTCATGAAAAATGATTGTTAGTGAAATATCTTTAGGTATTAATTTCTATTTTGATCTATCAAATATTAACATAATGACTATATATATATAATATGATGTTTTCAGATTTTATCATTTTTTTCAAATGAATGTTAAAGAATTTTCGTGTTCCTATACTTTTCTGTGCTTTCTGCTCTTCTTTGATTTTATTAGTTGGATATTAAAAAAATAATGATGAAAATATCATAGCTAACATCAATACCGTCACTCCTCTGTTTTTTTTTTTTTCAAAAAATTCACACTTTGTTCATTGAACCTTGATTGAATTAAATAACCACAGTTAGGAAAAAAAAAACATATAAACTTTTTTTCCCCCTCCTGTCACTCATACCTTTGAACATAGTCCTGAGGCCAAAACTAAAATGTGTATTTGATATTAACTGATCTTTAGAAGTCAGATTCTAAACTCGCATAACTTATTGAAAAATCTTGATATAACTACTTAAAATAATAATTTATAAATCTTACTAATAAAATGAAAATTTTTAGGTTGGTTCAGGAGAAATGTATTTCTCTTTTTCAATCTACAGGTTTCATATTAGAAGATTCTAAAATTATTCTAAAAATCAAGATGGACATTTTACATGTTTCTAAATAAAATTATATAGCCTGATAAACTCTGCTTGCCATTAATATACCAGATGCCTGAATTTAGACAACAAAAAGAAACACATCTAGCAAATATCAAAAGGTAGAAATTGGCTCTAAGGACTAAAAGTATATTAGGCTATTTCCTTGAGAAAGGTTAAAGTAGTATACTATTGTTATAAATATTATGATCCTTTAAATTAAGCCAAATTAAGCCAAATCGTTACAGAAATTATGTGCTCAAAATATACTTAGAAATACATAATGGTTGTGAATATTATTATAAAGCTAATGATATATTTGATATAAACTTAATATTACTAAAATACTTCTTTTTTCCCTTACAGGTGGATAAAACTTTTAAGGCACATTTTTAGCACACTCACAAAATATCTTATTTTTATCTGAAAACTGGCATAATAATCTGTTTCTAATTGTGGCTTTTATGTGTAAATAAATCACCAGTGATTCATCTAGTTAAAATATAATTAAAGGTTAGACTTATATTCTGTAAACTTGATCTGTGCTTATCTATTTTATTTGCCAAAATAGCTAGATTGTAAAATAAAGTAGAATATCCCTTCTTAATATAAAAGCTCTGGAAAGGTACACAAATATCAGCTAAGGTTTAAGAAGAGTTAGAATTGCAAAAGTATTTTTAAAATCTAACTATTTGTGTCAGCTTAACAATTAAGTATCTTAAAAGTTATAAATTATAAATATTATTATGCCATGTTAAGATAAGATGTTCTTAAATTTTAAAGAGACTGAAAAATTTATCATGCTCAGTAACGATGGTTTCCTAAGAAAAACAAGTTCACCTTTCCTTTTAAAAACAGTTTAACATTGCATTGTCTGTGGATATGCTGACAGGCTAGATCAATTGGGTAAACCTGAAAAAAAAAAAAAACAACTATTTAAAGATAAGATAAAATCCTAGCCCTTTGGGCTTAATAAACAACAATAACAAAATGTTTATTTTTTCCTAACTCAATCAACAGGTGGCAGGAATTGATCAAATTAGCCAATTAATTCAGTTTTGGACAGAACCAGATACTGTAGCACCACCAGTTAGTAGAAATGTAAGTCAGGTGTCATAGGGAATTCCAGCATTGTAGTTAGTTCACAGAATCAGTAATTCCTTATTTGGAAAATTCTGGACTTTAAGTGGTGCAAGGTGAAATGTATAGAGCCTGAAGTTGTAGTTAAAGACTTGAGTAGTTTCTGAGGTTTGGCAATCACAACAGAATTTTGCTGCAGAGATCAGAGGATTTCACTAGAAAACAGCATTCTGGGACCTTTTATTTTAAATAAGAGAAATGTTTCTTGAAATTATTTTTAAGTTATTTTATTAAAAAAAGAAAGAATGAAAAACCTGAACCATGATTGTTCTAAAATATGTTGGATGCAGTTATAAACAAAACTAGAATTTATATTTTTCAGGCATCTGCTGCAATTTAAAATAAATGCCAGGACCTGATATTTATCTTTTAATGGTGATAATGCATCTGAGAGTTTTTTTGGCAAATAATACTCTCAAAATGACTCCGTTCATTCACTGACTTTGGAATAGTTATCCAGAATTAGCTAGGTCCTCCACCACCAAAACGTTTTAACAGGTTATGTTGTTTCATAAATAAATATGAAATAATTGAAAAAGAAGCATGCAAAGTTTGTGTAACTTAAAGAAAACTTTTTAAAATATTAAATTGTGAAACTTAGCATTTTGTTTCTATAAAGTAGAATTTTTGAAGAATATATAGGATTTAGCCTTTATATCTGCCCTCCTCTTTTTGAAGTAAATGTAAGAGAACACATACCATCCACTCAGTATAAGCCTGTTACACTTGAAAGATTTGTTCTGAATGTCCAGTGGGAACCTGGAAATCGTAATAATTTGTAGTATCGATTGAGTGAAGCTATGCAGCTGGGGCCTCCGGTGAATAGACAGGAATAGACATTTTATTGATTAACTTTTACAGTCATATTTTCAAGACTCTGCTGCAACATAATTTTCACTTCCCAGCTTTGTGTTGCTGCATCATGAAACTTGGATTCTTCTCCCTTAACATTAACCCACTTGAGGAAAAAAGTATGGACATGTCTTGCCAGGGTTGTGTTCTGCAGAGATGCATAACTTTCTGGAATATGATTTTTCTCAAGTACTATTCTACCACAAACAGTAGAAAGAAACTATCTGCTTATAGCAGTTTTTGGAAATATCATTATGGCATCTATTTGGTAATTAAACTTCTTCATATTTTTCTCATTCTTTTCATGTTTAGGAATTTTAATGTTCCTACATTAAATTCATGCATGTAACTATCAAAATGAATTCTTGTGATAGCTTTGTTTTTATTCATTTATGCTTTAGATCTTACTAAATGTAATCAGCAGAAGAAAATATATTGTAATAATAGTTTATGATTTGTCTTAAATGAAAGATATTAAATACTAAATCATTTGGTCTAATATTTCAAAATATGGAAATCTGAATATATTCCTTTTGGATATATTTACTATATATGTATATAGTCCTATGAAATATTTTTTATATATTTAAGCAAAACTGTTACATTCACATAGATGAACATATTGCAGATATTTTGTGCAAAATTGGATGTTTATTTACTTCAAGTTCCTCATTACTTTGAATTTTTTATTCTTAGAACAAATTACAGATTTTGTACTCTACATATGTGGAGAATATCACTGTAATTTTATGTAAAAAGTAGTGATACATATTTAAACATTAGATTGGATTTAATTTTTAAATTTCTATTCCTTTTTTAAACTCCTATCTTTACATTTCTTGTGTTTCTGACTTTTAAAGATCCAATGTAAGAATAGATTGTTCCTAACATAAATTTCAGGAGCTTTATGTCACAGCACAAATCAGGAGACATGGAATACAATTAAATCGACCAAAAATTAATCGACCAGTTTTGACAGTTAAATAAGATAATTCATATTTCATGAAGTTTATGCTTATTCTAGTTCATTTTAGGAATTTATTTTTATTCCAGATGATTGATAACAGAGAATGTGGTTCTTAAAATTGATAAATTTGATTTAGAAAGTATACAAAGCATTTTAAGCTTATGATTTACTTCTTGTTTAATTCAAAATGAAAAAAATTGGGTAATACATCCAATCTTATTATTAAATGGGTGAAACATTTTCTCATTTTATTGAATATTAGTTTTTCATGATACTCAATAAGTTTATTGCATGTTTTCTATGGATTTACAAAATTATCACTATTGAGAATTGCTTTGTTTTTTTTCTTCCATGAAGCATTCATTTAGTCCATAAAAGTGAATGAGAATTTCTCTGTGCAATCTGTATGTAGACTTGTTTGTTGAAGTTCCACAATGACCACTATTAATACAGCATCTTAATACTTTTCAAGATTTTTTAGTTAACTTGCTTATATATAAGTATGTTTTCTACACTAATGAAATAAATATTTTTTAAACATTTAGGAATGAATCCTCTACTTCATATTAAAATAATGAATATAATAATGTATACAAAATAAAGATTATTTTTTATAGCTTTTTACCTTTTTAAATGAAAGACTCTTACTTGCATAATCAAGTTTTAAACTTACTTATCAAAATAAGGAGCACAATTAAGACAGATCAAGGAATAAACATAAAATACAAAAACTCTGAATTGAGATTGATTTCAACGTAATCCTGTAGAGGAATCCCCACTTATTGATCAATTTTAAAGTCCATGCATAGCACTTAGAAAGATAAAGTAAGCAAGGTCAGATAATCAAAGCATTTAAATAGTAAAAACAGCAACTGCCACTGTAG